AGAAGAAAAAGAAAGACAGAGACAACATGAACTAGAAGTATTACGATTAGGCGCTGGACAGAGACAAACTGGAGCAAGCGGTTTCGATCCAGTAAGGAATATCAAAATGGTCCCCAAATTCAACGAGAGAGAAGTTTCGAAGTTCTTCGCAGCCTTCGAGAAAGTCGCTGCCTCTTTGGAGTGGCCAAGGGAGAATTGGGCCATCATGATACAGTCAGTCTTGACTGGGAAGGCCCAAATCGCCTACTCTACGTTATCCCTTGACGACTCCGGCGATTACGATATGGTGAAGAAAGTGGTGCTCATGGCGTACCAATTGGTACCTGAGGCATATAGGCAAAAGTTCAGAAACCTGAAGAAGACCTCGGAGCACACTTTCACCGAATTCGCCACCATCAAGGAGCGACTTTTTCAAGAATGGTGTGCCTCTCGGAAGGTGGAGACCAAGGAAGACCTCGAGCAGCTGATTCTGCTCGAGGACTTCAAGGATTGTTTGTCTGGAGACCTGAAGACGTACCTAGAGGAACAGCAGGTAGAGACCTTGAGTGCGGCAGCCACCATGGCTGAAGAGTACATCCTGACTCATAGGCCGTCTGCTAAGTACGTCCCAAGGCATTACCAACACCGGTTTGACAGACCTCATGAAGAAGAGGAAAGACCCGTCCCACAAAGTGCTAAGAAGACGCCCCCAAGTAGCCCCCGAAGAACAAGTCCTAGCAGTCCGAAACACCGGAGCCCGAGGAGGAATATGGTGTGCTGGACTTGTGGGCAGAAAGTGCATATAGCTGCTAGGTGCCGAGGCAGAAGAGGTGGCAGCGCACGTAGGGAGGTGATGATGATGAGCTGTGTAATATCACCAGCAGGAAGCCAGTCGACGATGACGCAGGAAGAACCCAGATTGTTTTCCCCTCACACTTCAGGCGGGTATGTATCGAGTGATCATACTGGTAGATCAGTTGTAGTGCTCAGAGATAGTGGAGCAGCCCAGTCCCTGATCGTGAAGAGCTCGTTACCCGAGGGAGTAAGTGTGGTTGGGAGACCAGAGGTTGTCCTGGTTGGGTTTCCTAGGACGCAGTACATCGCCCCCTTAGTGCCAGCACATCTTGACTCGCCTTATTTCAGCGGCACATGTGAGTTGGCAGTAGTCGATACCCTCCCTGTGGCTGGGATTGACGTGGTACTAGCCAACGACTTGGTGACCGATTGGAGCACCAATCATCCCAAGATAGCGGACGAGTCAGCCAGAACATCAAGGTCTGAGGTAACGACGGGCCATGGTAATGTCCAGGTAGAGACAGACCCGGATTTCAACATGTCTAATTTGTCCTCTCACCCGTAGATCGACCGTATTCTAACAGTGTCTCCTAATTCTCTCGACAAGGAACATGAGGTTACGATGGCAGAAGTACCCGAACAAGAAGAGAGGCCTTGTGTGCAAGCACCCACGGATACCGAAGAGTCTGGAGTGAAGGCACCCGTGTACTTGCAGCCTGGCAAAGTACAATGTATGCTGCCCACTGGCGCTGTCACTCTGAATTATCAGACCCCTGTATTCCAGGTTCCTGTCTCCCTGAAGGACCATCGGACCGGTACCAGAAGTGCCGTCTGTGTCCAGCCATCATCGGTGCCACGACATAGGGAAGTGTCGAGTCACCCCAGATCGTGTCTACACGGATCCCTACTAGAGAGGTGTGAGATGATGCCCCTGCTTGACATCGCAGTGGAGATGTGGAAGATTACGTCAGGCAGGTCATCGCCTGCCATTTTCAAGCTCCCTTTGTGCCAGGGTTTTTCCTCAGTAGGACAGTTCTGTGGACGAGACAGCCTCGCCATTCCAGATTATAAAGTATGTGTGTCCATTTGGAGTTATGTCGTCGTACTAATTTGGTTTGTGTTTATCTTTATAGAACCCCAAACCAAATTCTTTTTGGTGGGGAGGTGTTACGAACCCGGATCCAGCGTCCGAGCACGGAGCAGTAACGACCACGCCATCTGTGGGTCAGCTCCCGAAACCCCCGCCAAACGGACGACGACACCTGGTAACGACTGCGAATACCGGCCACAAGGGCCAGTTTCCAGTCCCGTTCAGCACTCTACACCGCCGCTGCTGACCTCTGGTGAGGTGGTGCTCAGACTACAACACCATCTATGAAGTGGATGTGTCGGGCATTTGTGTCTGAGCCTGTAAGTGAGGTGTTTTAGTGTCCCAGTTATTGATGACGTGTCTGCTTACAGAGTCGACCTGGGACTGCTGTGATGGAAGTGGAGTCAGTCTACCCGAGGCAGCCAGTCTCCATACCTTGAACCTTGCTGCAGCTTTTGTGAAGTCGTCCCCCCGGAAGGACACTGTGGTGTGTTAGCCTGCCAGTGGAGTGGCAGTGAAAGGATTACCCGGGACCGACTGTTGGAGACGATCGTCCACTGGGGTATCGAGGACAGGAGAGTGATTTGTGGTGTCACACGAGGCTCCTGTCTAGGGCGTTCCCCTTTTATCGTTCGTGGAGTGGCCGTACCAGCCTTGTTGGCTCAGAACCTGCCAGCAGACCAGCTGGACGTGTGGTTGACGGCCTCCACGGCGGTGCCCCCAGTGGACATGTGTTTTGGCTGACCTGTGGCCAGGGTAGGCTCAGCTTCGTTGAAGAATTCGTTGTGTGGCCACGAAGAAAGCACCAAGGACTCAGCGCCTAGCTTCTGCATCCAGAGTCTTCAGCAGAAGACTACATTGTGAAGAATCCCCTTGTCAAGTGTTAATATCCCTCCCCCTTGTGCACTTTTATTTTATATATGTAATCGGTGATGGTGAAAATTATAATATCAAGTTCTTAGCTTTCTTTCCCTACTCCCTTTAAGTTACTTGCATCACGGATCTCATCCCTTGATAGCCACTACTGGCTTGGGAACGGATATATATATCTGACTCTAACAACATCAGAGTGAGAACCCCGTTGCGTCCCGAGAGGGCCGTAACAAAGCTCAACACAGAATTCTGCTCGAATGCCTCCTTCAGCTCCTGCAGACGTCTGACATCAGGTACCTGTGTAAATATGTCGTCAACATACCTGCAGTATATGGCAGGTTTCAAGTCCATGTCAACTAAGACCTTCTGCTCGATGGTACCCATGTGGAAGTTCGCAAACAGGACACCTAGGGGAGAACCCATGGCAACCCCATCTACTTGCTTATACATGTGCCCATCTGGGCTCAAGAAGGGTGCCTTTTTTATACAAGCTTGGAGTAGTTTCCTTAAAATGTTTTCTGGTATGTCAAGAGGAGTACAAGCCGAATCACGATACACTCTGTCTGCTATCACCCCGATTGTTTCATCTATAGGTATGTTGGTAAACAGTGATTCTATGTCCAACGAGGCTCTTATTCCTGTGGCCCGTGTTCCACGCAGTAAGTCAACAAATTCCTTTGGACACTTCAGGCTGAAAGCACAAGGTACATAAGAAGTCAGCAAGCCGTTGAGTGGCTTAGCCAGTCTGTACGTGAGTGTGGGTATCTGGCTGATGATTGGCCGAAGTAGGTTTCCAGGCTTATGGGTCTTGACATTTCCATACGCATACCCAGGTTTGTATTCCCCAATAACCTTTGACTGGTGGCGTCTGGATTTCTTGGCGTTCACAGTTTCGATCAATCTGTTTACCTTTGTTTTCAATTCGGCTGTAGTGTCCTTCGTTACCATTTGGAATTTAGTTTGGTCAGAGAGTATGAGGTTCATTTATGCCAGATATTTGTCTTTTTTAAGAATATCGTATATTGGCGACTTGTCACCTCTCCTGACGACTATCTTCTTGTTCTCACGAAGGCTCTTAGCTGCCGCTTTGAGCTCGGGAGACAGTATGGTGCTTCTGTAGTTGCCTCGAATCTTTCCTCCCTCTGCAATAAGTTCTACTTGCAAGGTGCCTTAAGTGGTAACCTTCTTTTGTGTCTCGATGTCGAATATGTCGTCCAATAGGATCTCCAACTCCACTTTCCGGGCCATCTCACTTGTTCTGGACATAATGTGACAGTTTATACCCAGATTTAGGAGAGTGATTTGGTCCTCCCTGAGATTGATTCCAGCAAGGTTCAGAAAGCCACCTCTGGGTCGTGAAATCGCTGTAGGTCCTCCATATAATGTTAGTTTCTTCATGATCCTGGTTTCGGTGCTGTGGTGATGTTGATCTGTGAGGATGTCGAGGTGTTGGTCGATACGAGTACAGAGGTTTTCGTCAATATTGCTTGCTGCTGGGTCGTGCGTTGTAATATTAGTATATATTGATAGCAGTCTTTCTTGTAAACATATGTTGTTAAATATGAACGAAAAGGTAAAATTAATAATTCAAACATGAATTTTCTCAATATTTCGTATGGTTCTTTTCACTGTCGATGGTAATTGAAAAATCAATTCTCCAAAATTAATTTTTATTTCTAGTCTGATGCGACGCTTGAACACGTTTTGTAATAACTTATTACATTTTCAAAGACTTTGGTTTACACACACCTGTAACCTGTAAACACGCTAATCTGTCATACTTATCCTCGCATTTGGGTGAGGTGATATGGTGCAACAGTTTTGGATGACGTGAACAAACATGTGACAAACACAAGACAGAACACAAAACTATGGGTATTAATTGGATATGAGAGCATAAGAATAGAAGTAACTGCCGAGGGCCTATTGGCCCGTTCTTCCTCTTGATGCCTCTATATTGGTTGAGAGTCTTGAAGTCGGTAGAATATAGTTGTGCATTAATTGGATGTTGATTTCTGGTGTTGACTCTTTGATGTGTAGTGCCTCGCAGATGTCGAGCCGCCTACTATTGCTAAAATTTCACAATTTTCACAAAATATACAGACACATTGTCTCAATATACCAAATGTGCTACACACTAGCATATGAAGATCTATTTTTCAGATAACATATACAAAAATTATACAAATTCATATTTTGCATAAAAATACAGGTGCACCAGTTCCACTTCAGCAATTAAAATACAGGTTGCATAAATACAACATTCGCACAATTTTTTTTATAAAACATGGCTAATTAATACAAAACCTATGTAAGTAATACACATCCTTGCATAATTAATATAACCAAACTTGTTATACAATTGCACAACTTGCACAATGACAATCAATATACAACAGGCGCAAATACACAATTCGTCGATATACAATTTCACAACATGTGCAATCATTGCACAACTTGCACAATTATTACACGTCTTTCATAATAATTACACAACATGCAAAATACAATCAAATAGGTATCCAGCACGAATACATATAATACATAACTGCCCCAAGTATGTAAAATACACAACTAGTACAAATACTCAATTAACACAAACGCAATTATAGTGTATACATAATTAACACACCTCTTGCCCTAATATAATCAATACACAACTAGCATAAATACGAACAATACACATCTAGCACATAAACATTAAAAACTCAACTACATAATTCTCACAAATTCACTTTCAAAACATATACAATTATTACACAACTTGCATAAACAATGCACAATTTGTGGGATATAATCAATACATAATTGCAATCATCATACAACTTATGCAAAATACTATCAATACATAACCTGCACAATTAATGCAGAACTTGCACAATTATAATCATTGTGCTATTTGTACAAATACAATCATACCCAACTTGGTAAATCAATACACAATTTGCATAATATTTTTTTCTAGGTATGTTTAGGTCATCATTTATAATAATCCAAGTTTAACCCAGAAATTATCACCAAAAAATTCAGAATTTCACATATATGAATGGTACATTTAACATCCTATGAGACCAATATAAAAACACACACATACATTTTCCATAACTGTTTCAACGTTATTAGTGCTAAACTATTCATCAAGCATATGTCCATTGTTTTTAATACTTTATTAATACCCCTTGTTACATCCTCTCCAGTCATGTCACCCATATTTAATTAAGCAAACCATCCAACAGACATATTGGTTCTAGCTTTAGTTATGTTAGGTTAGGATGAGTGGGGTTAGATGAAGTCAGAAATTTCTATGATAATTTAAGAAAATTTACTATATCCTATAAAAATGCATCCTATTAGTAGCTAAATTTATCTAAATCTGGCAAAAATTCTACTTATACTACACAAATTTAACCAAGTTCAACCGAGAAAAAGCTAAACTAACTAAATATAAGCATCCCATATACTCTCATACAAGCCTATGTTACCTCTGTCCAGCCATTACATGGACTATATATAGTTATAACTAAAACCCAAATGTGCTAATTTACACTATTTTATGAACAAGCTAGTTCAGTACCCGTAAGATATTATATATCCTACCCTACACAACCTTACCTAACCTGACCTAGCACATCCAAAGCTAAATTTGATTCAATTTGGCTAAATTAATGATGTCCCAGTTAAATTTTACCTAATTTGAGAACATTTCCACCAAATTTATCCAAATTTACCTATATTCACCTAAATTAAGACAATTTCCACTAAATTTATCCAAATTTACCTTATCATACACAGCACAGCCAAAGTCTCATTTACCCAAGTTTAACCTATTCCATCTAAATTTAGTGTATATTTCCATTATCCAACATCCAGTCTTGGCATATTATACCTCACTCCCATGATCACAGCACCCATATCCTCACATACAACCCTATGTAGTCTCTCTCCATCCATCACAAGAGCTAGATATAACTCAAACCTAAATAGGGTAATTGACTATATTTTCTGAACAAGCTAGTTCATTACCCCTTAGATGTTATATATTCTATCATACATAGCACTACCAAATCTGACCTAGCACATCCAAAGATAGAATTTATTGAAGTTGGCGAAATGCAAGGTATCCCACCTGTATTTTACATAATTTAAGAGAATTTCCACCAAATTTACTCAAATATACCTAAACTTAGGTAATTTAATACAATTTCCACCTAATTTACCCAAATTTATCTGTCGATTTATCATACATCCATCCATCTACTCACCCATCTATCCTTCCATGTATCAATCCATTTATTTATATATCCATCCAATTAGCCATCCATCTTTCGCTCTATGTATCTATCCATTTATCTATTCATTTGTATATCAATCCATCCTTGTATCTATCCATCCATGTGTATACTGTCTCTATCTTTGTTTCAGCCTCTCTCTGCCCCCTTTGACCCTTTTGAATTCTGGCGACTCAGACAAGCCAATGTTCATTCCGTTCCACACGCAATTCTCTCTGCCAGTTTGGGCGAGGCTAGATCAAGCATCTGGCCTCCAACATTGGACAAACACACAAACATTCTCTTTGACTCCTGGTTCAACCTTGATGACGAGCGGACGTTTGGACACTTGAATTGCCTAGGGGGCCGCCGGATGACGTTCCGTTTTGTGATTTGAAGTTTTATACTGTCGTTTGGCGTTCCTATTTAACGGTCTGGACTGTTATGATGCCTGGGGCACATATCGCCTTGGTTCACAGGATAGGTGATAGATTTTGAACGTATTCTGGCCAGTTCTTCAGGCGGGATGACAGTGTCCGGCGTCAGCTTGCCCAAGAGGTGCCAGGAGTTCGTGGGTCTAGATGGGCTCCTGGTGTGCCCTCAGACATGGTGGGCGGCTGGCTTCTCCTCTGCCAGAGGGCACTGGATACCTTTTTGCATCTCAGAAGCCAAGTTTTTGGTTTTGCCTACCCGGTGTTTTCTTGTGTTTGGGGTGGAGTCTGTGCTTGTCACCCTGAGGGACTCCAAGGGGGCTCCTCAATCATCTGCCCATCCATGTGTTTATTTCCTGCAAGGCACATTAGTTTCCACAGATAGGCGACATTTATATGCCATTATTCTTCGCGATTAACCCTTTCATGGGTATGCCGGGGCGCATCCGATCCCTCGATCATCGTCGCCCCTAAATCATCAACAACAACATTCTGTTTTATAAGTATTGATTTTTCAGATACACTTAACATGGGAGTCCACCTGGAGCCTCCGTGAGGTGCAGACGTGTCACCTGGCCTCTGGTAGTTGGGGTGTTTGCCGTTTTGGTTGCCAGGTGGTGTGGGCGTCTCTGCCCCCCCCCCCAGTTTGTGTTGCTGCCTGACTGCGTGTTGACGTGGCAAGCTTGACATGGAAGGCCATCTTCCCCTTGTTGTGCGTGTGAACTCCGTGGGCTTGGAGTTCACTAGTCGGGCTGGTTATTCGGACATAGAGCTGGTTATGTGTGACATGCTTCATATCCCGGTGGAGGCTATCTATGGTGTTGAGCTTGTTACAGCCCACCGGGTTGTTCTCAAGTTCGTGGGGGAGGAGGAGTACCGGGACTTCCTCTGTCGGTACGAGGGGCGTACGTTGTCGTTGCCGGGTGATGCCGGCTCTGTGGCGATCTCGGATTGTAGTGGGGTCCTGACCTATGTCAGCGTCCATGGGGCGCCCCTGCAGCTTCCTGAAGACCTCCTATGGCGTTACTTCAGGAGGTTTGGTACTGTTGTCAGCATGCGGGTGAACACACTCTCCTCGGGGCGGTATGCTGGAAGGCGAACGAACATTCGCACGTTGGGAATGCGCCTGTGGTCGGATATACCTTCTTCTGTCTGGCTAATGGGATACTACGTCCAGGAGTACTATGCCCGGCAGCCTCGTACCTGTTTCTGGTATGGCCTGTTGGGTCATCAGGCTGCAGGGTGCTCTGAGGCCCCAGCTGCTCCTGTCAACTTGTTCCGAGAAGAGGATTTCCCGCCGCTCCCACTGGAGGCAGTCTCCGGAGATGTTGAAGAGGTGCGCCTCCCGTTCGCTGCTGCAGCTCCCCCGGCGACGCCTGTCATTCCTCCAGTTGTTGTCAACCCGCCTCTGGGTATTGCAGTAACATCGGTTGGTCTGCCTGATCCTGTCACTGTCCAAGCTGCTCCCGTGGGCCTTCCTGGTGCTCCCTGTGTGGCATCGCCGTCTTCTTCCTTGTCTTCGGATGCTGCGCCTGGCCCTGTGTCCGTGCCTTGGGTCCCAGATGTGCTGGGTGCTGGGATAGCTGCAGAGCCTCCTGCTGTGTGTGGCCCAGTTCCGCCTGTGAAAGAGGCTGCTGCCGTTTTGTGTCAGGCATCAGTTCGTCCGGCTCGTGGTGCCCGTGTTTCTGGGTCTGCTTCCGGCACTGACAATATCCGGCCGGAGCCTGAACGTTCCCGGCGTACTTGGCGTCACTCGTTTCGCGTTTTGGCTTGGCGTTTCGCCTTTCCTGGCTTCACGATTCACCCTTAATTAACGGGTACGCCGGGGCGCATCCGATCCCACGATCGTCGTCGCTCCTAACTCAACAACAACAACAACACTTAACATGGGAATGTTTACTTCCTGCCCAGTGTTACCCTAGTCAACTGACAACCGATCATGTTGGGTTCGATTCCATGGCAGAGCGAGACGATTGGGTACGTTTCCTTGTACCTGATGCCTCGGTTATTTTAGTAGTAAATCGTTACAATTATGCCTCGTGTCTCTGTTAACTTGGTAGGAAATCGTTACAGGGAGCTAGTCAGCTTTAGTAGGTTGCCCCTATGGAAGGTCTGTTGATGGCAAATTATATACTGATAGCTCTAATAGAACAGGCTCCCTGTCACCAACAATAGGAAACCATTCGAAGAGAACATTTGTGAGCAAAATGTTTCAGACAACCTCAACACTCTGTTTTTATCTCTCATGATTCCTGCAAGCAAGCCTGTATAGGGTAAAATATTTCAGTCCCTGTGGACACTGATACAGTTTATCTTCCATGTAAACACACGTGTGTTATCTCATGAGTACCTTTTTCTACGCAATATGTAAGACACACTGAACACTGTTATGATTTATTTCACGTATGAACTTCCTTCATGCTGCCGTTTTTTCGTAACAATTTTCTGACTCTCATGACTAACATGTCTAATATTTGGTATGAATTTTTGTGTCTTACAAGATGGCTTTAAGTGCTAAAATATTTCTGGCACTCTTAACACTGATACAGTTTATCTCCTGTATGAACTCTCATGTGTTTAACAAGATGACTTTTAGTGGCAAAATATTTCTGACACTCTGAACACTGATACGGTTTATCTCCTGTGTGACCTCTCATGTGTGTAACAAGATAGCTTTTAGTGGCAAAATATTTCTGACACTCTGAACACTGATACGGTTTATCTCCTGTGTGACCTCTCATGTGTGTAACAAGATAGCTTTTAGTGGCAAAATATTTCTGACACTCTGAACACTGATACGGTTTATCTCCTGTGTGACCTCTCATGTGTGTAACAAGATAGCTTTTAGTGGCAAAATATTTCTGACACTCTGAACACTGATACGGTTTATATCCTGTATGAACTCTCATGTGTTTAACAAGAGAGCCTTTAGTTCTAAAATATTTCTGACACTCTGAACACTGATATGGTTTATCTCCTGTATGAACTCTCATGTGTTTAACAAGATAGCTTTTAGTGGCAAAATATTTCTGACAATCTGAACACTGATATGGTTTATCTCCTGTATGAACTCTCATGTGTGCAATGAGATTGCTTTTATAGGCAAAATATCTCTGACACTCTGAACACTGATACGGTTTATCTCCTGTATGAACTCTCATGTGTGTAACAAGAGAGCTTTTAGTGGCAAAATATTTCTGACACTCTGAACACTGATACAGTTTATCTCCTGTCTGAACTCTCATGTGTGTAACAAGAGAGCTTTTAGTGGCAAAATATTTCTGACACTCTGAACACTGATACGGTTTATCTCCTGTATGAACTCTCATGTGTGTAACAAGAGAGCTTTTAGTGGCAAAATATTTCTGACACTCTGAACACTGATACGGTTTATCTCCTGTATGAACTCTCATGTGTTTAACAAGATAGCTTTTAGTGGCAAAATATTTCTGACACTCTGAACACTGATACGGTTTATATCCTGTGTGAACTCTCATATGTTTAACAAGATAGCGTTTAGTCGAAAAATATTTCTGACACTCTGAACACGGATATGGTTTATCTCCTGTATGAATTCTCATGTGTACAATGAGATTGCTTTTATAGGCAAAATATTTCTGACACTCTGAACACTGATACGGTTTATCTCCTGTATGAACTCTCATGTGTGTAACAAGATGGCCTTTAGTGGAAAAATATTTCTGACACTCTGAACAAAAATACGGTTTATCTCCTGTATGAACTCTCATGTGTGTAACAAGAGAGCTTTTAGTAACAAAATATTTCTGACACTCTGAACACTGATACGGTTTATCTGCTGTATGAACTCTCATGTGTTTAACAAGATAGCTTTTAGTGGCAAAATATTTCTGACACTCTGAACACTGATATGGTTTATCCCCTGTATGAATTCTCATGTGTTCATTGAGACTGCTTTTAATGGCAAAATATTTCCGACACTCTGAACACTGATACGGTTGATATCCTGTGTGAACTCTCATGTGTGTAACAAGATAGCTTTTAGTGGCAAAATATTTCTGACACTCTGAACACTGATACGGTTTATCCCCTGTATGAATTCTCATGTGTTTTACAAGATAGCTTTTAATGGTAAAATATTTCTGACACTCTGAACACTGATACGGTTTATCTCCTGTATGAATTCTCATGTGTGTAACAAGATTGCTTCTAGTGGAAAAATATTTCTGACACTCTGAACACTGATACGGTTTATCTGCTGTATGAACTCTCATGTGTTTAACAAGATAGCGTTTAGTGGCAAAATATTTCTGACACTCTGAACACTGATATGGTTTATCCCCTGTATGAATTCTCATGTGTGCATTGAGACTGCTTTTAATGGCAAAATATTTCCGACACTCTGAACACTGATACGGTTTATCTCCTGTGTGAACTCTCATAAGTGATACAAATTTGATCTTCATGTTAAAATGCTTCAGACACCATGAACACTGACACGGATCATATTATTTCTGATATCTTTTTTTCCCCTAGAGCAAACTTTCTTTAAAAAAATATTTTTCTTTTTTTAAAATTATATGAGTTTTAATGTAAATATATAACTTAAGGAGTCGATAACAACTGGAAAGTTGATAACATTTTAATGACTGAACAGTAGAACAGGTTGCAATAACAGTAAGATGTCCACCTAATAATTCTGTCAGTAGAAAGTAAACAATTATCAGTAATTATCCAAAGGCATCAACAGATGTTTCTTGAAGGACAGGAGATCACGGAGATCACAGGTGTCAGGAAAAATATGGAGCAGTAGTTTTTTCATCAGTATACCTGTCGAATATTTTGAGGAACTGATCACAGGTGTCTGGGAAGATATTGGGTGATAGGTTTCTTCTTCAGAATACCTGTGGAAGAAAGAAATGAAACAGTATTATGCACTATGAAACAGTATTATGCACTATTACAGAACTAACAAGACAATCATAATACTTGAGCAAAACATTAATATTTGATACATATTTTATACAAGGCTTGTATTTGCTTGTTTTGAGAGCCAAAGCTTTATCCGTAAGACTGTTCCTATAATTAGACTTGATAAAGGTCATTGCTGGAAATAATGATTTGCATGAAAATGTCGATGAAAATACTTAATACTGCTCTGGAGACATTTTGAAAATTTTTAGTTTCTGCTGTTATCTGCATTAATCCAATCAGTAACCGATCTCTTTCACTATTTTGTACGTCGTCTATACACTTCATGAATTTTGCAGATTCTTCATATGACCCCTAATTTACTAAATTTTTGGTACATTAATCTGCAGTTTAATCACTGATGCTAAAAAAAATGAATTATCTGAATTCCTGTTTACTCATGAATTTCAAAATTTGTTGTGTTTTTTTTTAGGTTTGCGAAATATTTAAAAGTACCGTTGTTGACATCATGTTTAAAAAATTTCAATTTTATTTCAAAAGCTTTGATGTTTCTAAAATATAACTTCAAGTGCCTTGGCAGTTGCTGTAATTTCGGGTTTCTATTCATTTAAAAGGGGAAGAAATATTTGAAAAACATTAATCTACAAATCCACACAACGTAAGATGATTCTTGACCAGTACTTTTTCATTTGTTTAAAACAAACGAATTTCATTCAAATACCTAAGAAATAGCTTAAGCACAGAACCTTTACTAAACCAGTGAACATTGTTGTACATAAGTACTTCTCTGTGGGGAGCCCCGTCGGCTTCCTAAAGCTATCCTACTGATATAGTGCTGTATTAGTTGGGGTCATCAGTCACAGAGTTCTTGTTTCCTACTTATGAACCTGGCCCCCCCAGAGAGGCACAGGGAGAAATGTTCTATGCGCAATTTGCATTTGAAGTATGTCAAATTTTGCCATCGACCAGGAAAGGACCCAGAAAGGTAGGCGAATCAAAAGAGACCGCTGTCCGGTTAAAAATTACGAGCTACGGCCTTAAAATACCCCAAAAAAAAACTCTCCCAGAAAGAAAACAAACAAGCAACACATCATCCAACTAGCCCCCTTCCCTACCCCGCTCATTGGTGCTCTCCGGCCAGTCCGGGTGAG